CCCATGTGATTGTGGACTCCCAGAGCATGAGCCCAATGGGGCTGTGTCTACACTGCAAAGCAATACAGCTTAGACCCTCCACCCCCATGGGACAGTGGGACCCACATTCAGTGCAATTTATATATTAGGCCTGAGCCGGAGTTCAAACCCTGAACTTGCACTGCAGTGCAGACCTAACCGCAGGGTCTCCCTTCTCAGAATGACTCAGTAGCAGGGAGGAAGGACAGACAGATGACTTGTTGCCTGACACTTTTTATAAGATGTGCTGATTGAAATGAAATAACTGTTACATTTTATAAACTAGAGTCCAGGTCCTGGAAACCTGTAGACACCTGTCAGTAAAGACACTCATGTAAGTGTATGACATAATGGGCCCCAGTGGAACACATGTGATGTTTGTACGTCGTTCTCCCGCCTGACTTAGACACCGTTTCAATAGCTGCAACTGTGTTAAGGCTAAATTCAGATTTAAATTGTCAGATCAACCAAAGTGCCTCTGCAATAGAGGAAAGCTGAGTTTTCCCCTTACTGCACATTGGTGCTGGCAGTTCTGTTTCCAGTTCAGTTGTTCTATAGTATGGAGTTCTAAAGGCTTTCTAAAAAAGTAAACTGATCTCTCCCCTTCAAAACAGTAACCAGTCTAGAAACTAGATAACATTAGTGCCGTGGACTGATTAATAAATAGTGATCCATCATTAGATGTATGACTTTTCCACCACTGTTCTCATCAAGTTTACACCTTTTCGTTTTCCTTCTGTGTTACTATTATCATTGTCCCCTTGCAGAAGTCCTGCCTTTTTTTGTTCATAATCATTCATATTTGGTATTGGACAACTCATCCTTTTAGCCTCTTTAGTCTGTTATCTTCTCTGTCCTATCCGATCAGTTTCTCTGCTTTGTCTCTCTCATGCAATCTCGTTCCTTACTCAGATGCTCTTGACTCTTTTGTGTGGCATATCCTTAACGGCTAATTCATTTGTCACAAGTTAAACAATAAGGATGTGGGATGACCTCCCCTACCCTGTTCTACTCTGACCACTTCAACCTTAATGCTTACCGTCCTGCCTCAGCCTTTGCTGTGGATCTCGATTTGTTCTTCCTTCTGCCATGAATTTCAAGTATCACTCTTCATAGTCTCTTCCCACACTGTGCTGATCATAAGTGAGCACGTTAGTTAGTGAGGCTCTAATGCTAGGGATAACTTTCCAATACATTTTATTAATAAACTTAGATTTTCAGGTCCAGTTATCTGTGCTGGCTTAAGGACAAATCAGGTAGGTCAGTGAATTACATAGTGATGAATTTGGGCCATCTCTGCTTTTGAAATGTGTATTAACTTTGCTTCCAGCTCAATTACCAAAGAGAGGGATGGAGTTAAAAAAAAACAAAACCCTCTGTAACCGAGATGGTCCCACTTTGCCCAGTGTGGGAGTCCTTCTTTGAACACTGACATTTCTACTGGAGAGGAGGAGAGTAAAAGGAAGACTTGAAACAGTCACATTTCCATGGGAACAGGCTGTTGTTTTCCCATAAAAGGATTGTCTCCCTCATTGCAGGAGGTGCTGGTTTGTGAGGAAGGGAAACTCTTGTCCATGTGCAAGTGTCTGAAGTACAGTAACCATAGGAATGCAGTTAATCACTGGCCAAATAACATGCTTTTTGTATAAACATTCTCCTTTTTGATGTAGATTTTTCCACATAGGAACAATCTTTAAAACTGACACACATTGAAAATGTTTCAAACTAAGGTTCTTTCCATCTGGAACTCAGCTTGTTTTATTACAGCACTTGTCTTTCACCACCACTTACTAGTCTGAGAGTAAGCAGCAGCAAGGAAGAATGGAACAAGTTGAGAAGGAAGCGATTGCGTCACCTGCTTTCTGTTTGTGGCTGAGCATTGAATAACTTCTGAATGTCCTTCTGTGTGACTTAATTTCTTAAGTATTGTTAATGGAAATATGGCAGCACGTGGTTCTGCTTTGGTAACTATTGCTTCCCTTAGCCTCTTGTCAGATAATGGCAGTTTTCACCTGTGTTCTTCACATACACTAAACCTGGCATGACTAAGTGCAATGCTGTATCTTTCCCATTCCCCTCTTTCCAGTTTGTCTATTGAATAGCTCCTATCACCAAAAAAGTACCTGGGTGTTGGATGTAATCATACCTCCTCCACCCCTTGCAGTATATGTGATGTGTGTATTGGAAATAGTCCTCCTATTATCTGACAGAATAGGGGACACTATAAATTGGCTTAGCAGAAGTCAATCTATATAGAATTTAATTTCAACTGATATCAATGTTAATTTTTAAGCATTTTTTAAATTCTTAGTTAAATTTTCAGTTGTGCAAAATTATGGATTTTAAGTTTTCAGTGGCAGGCAAATATGGGGGTGGCAGACAATGGAGGAGGTCAGACCGTAATTATTTAAGTAGATGTTAACATTCAAAAAGTTAAAGCTTTAAGCTGTTAAAATACAAATTGTCAACATCATGTATCAAAATATAAATACCTTAAGCCAAACACTTTAATCAAGCAGCTTTTTTGGCCTATCTGCAAATTTTGATTATCCATTGAAATATTTTTTCATCTGTTTGTGAACAGTGAAATTGACGTTAACCAAGATTTGCTGATTAAAAAATCAAATCCTTCCAAGCTTAACTAAATTCCCCAGCTCTGACTTTGTATGGCTATGTAATGTGGAGTTGCAAGGGAGGTTATGTGTCTGTATTTTTGATGTAAGAGTGTAAAGTTGACACACCAGCTGAATTAGAGAAAGTGAAGCATATGTGTGATCTAGACCAGTGGTTCTCAACCATGGGCCTGGGGCAGCTTTCAGAGGGGTCTGCCAAGCATGACTGGCCCTAGACTTGCTAGGGCCCAGGGCAGAAAGCTGAAGCCCCGCCACGTGGGATTGCAGCCCAGGGCCCCGAGCCCCACCACCCAGGGCTAAAGTCAAAGTCTGAGCAACTTAGCTTTGTGGGGCCCCTTGTGCTGTGGGGCCCCAGGTAATTGCCCTGCTTGCTATCCCCTAAAACCAGCCCTGGCTCTTGTATGCAAAAAAACAGTTGTGGCACAGCTGGGCTGGGGAGTTTTTATAGCATGGGGGGGGAGGGAGGGGCTCAGAAAAAGGTTGAGAATTGGTCTACAACACAGAATGTAGCAAAACAAGTCAAGATTTTTCAGTGCTAAAGATGCCACTGGCCAGCACCATGGTCTTTGTGATTCATGCTCATGGCCCTTGTAAGAATTTGTGATGCAGTGTAATCTATAAAAGGATATCACGGCTCAATAATTTTAATAGGAACTTGCCTTTTTCTATTTTGTAGAAAATGGGTCTATTTATAACACTTATACTTTCATGTATAGCTAATGACCTAAAAACAGAACTCCTGGACTAGAAAATAATCTGACTAGAGGAAAAAAGACTTTACAGTGTAGCTACACCTGGGAAACAGTAAGACTTAGTGCCACAGTTCAACTATTTTATTTATTGGGTCTGGCTTTGTGAGATGGGGGTTGGGGGGCAGTACTAAGAAACAAACCATAGGAATCAGATGAGGGAAAAGTCCTGGAAATCATTTATTTCATCCCTCTCAGCCAGTGTAAGATTCTTCTAATTTGTAGTTATATTGGCCCTTGATTCTCCAAGTAAGGGGGCATCCAGGGCTTCCCTTCAAGGTGACTTGGATGATCTCTTATCAGGGGACTGTATAGCCTGCACTTACAGGTGGATGGATGTGATCTCCTAGGTCTTTTTCGCATCTAATTTCTATGTCCTCCTTCTCCACAATCTGGTACCTATTTGCAGTACTCAAGAAGTTGCATATTTACTTGGGTAAATGACTTCCCTAGTTGATTTATTACTATTCTAGCAAGGCAGCTGCAATTATTAGATCAGCTTGGTCTTATTTGTGGTTGGCTAATCTTGTGGTGGTGGTTTCTTGCGTAATTGTTGTCTCATCTTAACAGGAGTGTCAACTATACCCCCGCCGCCTCCACCACCAGCAGCTCCTCCACTTCCTCCTCAAATGGATGGGGCAGTGCATCCTGACCCTTCGCCTGCTGACAGTGCCAGCCGAGAAGCCTTACTTAGCTCCATTCAAAACTTTCAGAAAGGAGCTTTGAAGAAAGCAGACACCTGTGACTACAGTGTTCCCAGGATCAGCTGAAGTTAACTCTTCACAGCAGGATCGGATATTTTTCCCTTCAACAACTGTCCTCAGTTGAGGTGTGATCAGCCACTTCATGCTGGTCTATTATTTTGCAGCTGTTTGTTCAGAGCCATTTCAGCTTTTTCTAGGGAAATTATTTCTCCTTGTCCCTTGAGTAGCAGCACTACATCATTTGAACTACATCGCCATATTGTGGTGGTAACTATTGACTTCAGTTATTCCAGTTAAAATGAACTTATTTAGTTAAGTGATTTTTGGGGAGGGAGGTAGGTAATGCAATATTTCTACGATCTGAAAATAAGAACAAGCATGAGGATACTGACTCAGTACATCTGATTCCACCCGACCCCTTGTTTCAAACACACTTGAAAAATCTGTTAGTCTGCCCTATTTTCCTATAATTCCTTGTAGTTGGCACATTACATTTTTGCTGCATCAAAAATCAGCCATTTGCTTTAGATAATTTTTTTTTAAAAGCACTTAATCCAAAAGTGTAGTACACTGGTGAGGGAACTGTAGATTTAACTTTGTCTCTATGGCATATTTGCCATTGGAGGGTACTCCAAAATTCAACAATGGTGCTCATGCTTGTATGTAATGCACTGTTGGAATGACCCCCCCTAAACATGTAGCTGGTTCCAGTTACCACATGTGCAGGGGAAATAAACAGCCTGTTAATTTAGGCAATAAAATGGGAGTTAATTTGGCACTGATTATTCAACACAAGTTCTGGATTGGGGAGTTTTCAACACAGGTAAAATTTGCATCCATATGAAATTAATCTTGTTCTTGGGGAAGTTACAGAACACTTTGTTTTAGATGCTGACTGCTTGAAAAGATTTTATTCTGATTTGCTTAAAACCTTAAACAAATTGCACTTTAAAGGATTATAGATAATCCATTTTAAATTCAAGTACACATCAGTGTTTACTATGCAGAGAATGTCATTGTGTATAAAGTTTCATGTAACCTGTGATATATATTCAGTCATATTTTTATTAAAATAAATGTTGTTGGAATTCCTCCAGTCAGAGAATGAGGGTCCCTGCTTTTAAAATAAAATAGTGGGGCTGTAAAATAGAGAATCTAACATAGCAGAAGCTTCTACACCCTGCATTGAAGTGAGATGGCCATTTTGCTATGGTCAGAAGTACTGAAATGATAGACCGTCAGGAACCTGATGCAGCACTAGCCTAAGCGAAGGGAAAGAATTCAGCTCCTTGGGTATGTGAGTGAGGCTCGTTCAGTTCCCTCCATGAAAATATTTTGGTATTGCATCTGACAGTGACTGATGCATGGCCACAACTGTGATAGGCTGTGGTGACCAATCACTAGCTGCTCCTGAAACCATTGTTCAGAAGTTTACTTACTGTTCTAGAGGGAAGCACTTTTAAAGTAACAGCACTTGTCTAGTTTCTCTGATTTCACTATTGCCTCCTTTTTTTAAAACACAGCCCCTTGCTATCTACTCATTTCCTTATTCAGGTTAGGATTGGTCTTAACCCTATACTTACAACATCCAAAGGAGGGTTCCATTATTTCTAAAGTTAAGACCCCTTAGCAGTCAAGCTGTCTAACCTCAATAGGGGCAGTTGCTTTAAAAAAAAGTAGTGAAATATTTTCAAATGATGCCTTTTTACCAGGACTTGATCATGGATTACCCCTCTGGTGAAACTGAGTGGATGAATGAGGTATAATTAAGATTAGAGTTTTTTGGACAGGTGCTCCTGTTGATCATATGGTCAAAGTATTTAAACAGCATTTAAAGTCTTAACCCTTTTGTAGTAGATCTTCCTCTAAGTTTTTAGATCTAGCAGGCTACTTTGGATTGAACAAAGCTAGTCCACACTGACTTATTTCCCCTCTACAATCAGTTTATCTGACAAAGGGGAAGCTACTGTACTGGACACCATGAAAGCGAATAGCACAAGTATTTTCTTGGGACTGATTTTGCACCTAAAGAGTTGGGAGTCCCACCATAATAAGCATTTTAAAAAACTGCACCTTGAGTCAGGCAGCTGTAACTAATGAGCTGCAGAAGAGCATGGTTTTAAATAAAAAAAACCTGCTGCCCGCTGGGCTGAAATGCTCACCACTTTCTTCTTTCCTCCACCAAAGTAGAGCAACCACTGTACTGCAGCCAGCATCTCTCATTGCCCTCTGCACTTTACCTCACTTCTGTGCAATTCAGGAAGAAGAAACTCATCACAGCATTGGTGACCCTTTATGCTAGCATAGACCTCTTTGACTTTGTAATTAGAGGGACAACCTCCTTGCCTCATAGCAAGAGTAGAACATCCCAGTAGCAGCTACCTCCCTTCCCCCACTGAACTTGCTAGTTTTCCAGCAATAATTACAGCCACAATGTAGATGATGAGGTGCCAGCTCTAGAATACCACTGATCTCCAGCACTAGGTAAACACAGTTGGTTAAAACCTTTAACATTCACTTAGTCAGCAAATGCTCTCCTCAAGCATGCTATAATGCTGCAGTCCAGTCCTAGACACCACCACTTAAGTGCTTATTGCTATTTTCAGGTGCATTTTGGGTCAAAGATTATTTTTTTTACTATTTGTAAATCAGAAGGAAGCTTTAGATCCCTTGATATGGTAACATTTTCTTTTCACATTCTGTAATCCTTAAGGCTTTCAATACAGACTCACACTTTTTACAAAATGAGTCTGGCAGCCACAAATGTAAGCGTACTTTACTGCTTAGCTTGGTAGATGAAAGTAGTTGAGGATAACCCACTAAACACAGATTAACTACATAAATACATTTAAAAGGTCACCTAAACCTTTCCCTCAGTACAAAGAGGTCAACAGAGCTATATAACATTGTTATGAATACATGGTTGTAGTCCATTCCATTAATGCTCTTAAGACGCACGTTACAACGGCACGCTGTATATACAACCTAGATATTTAACACTTTCTTCACTGCAAATATGATATCTTTCACTTGAGGTAAGCAGTTCTCTTCCAAAATCTTTGCATAAGGCATAGGAACATCTGCACCTGTGAGACGCACAGCTGGAGCATCCAAATAATTAAAGGCAGGTCCTGGAATAGAATAAAAATGTCTTAGAAAAGGCTCATGCAGATTTAGCTACAACTTTTTTCAAAGGAGTTAGGGTCTCAAAGTGATCCAGGGGCCACTCCCTCTATTCCTGCAGCTGTCCTTTGACATGTTAACCCTGTAGACATTCTTGCTTAATTCTCACTGTCTTCACACACTCAATTAAGTTTACAAGGGGTGGGGAAAGGGAGATGTGTCCCATGCTCTTCTGGGGCACATTACCAGGTTGCCTAACTCACTGCCACCTATACAGCCCCTGCAAGCTCTGCCACTCTGGCTCTAGCGGGATTGGCCACAGTAGAATAAAGGGGTAAAGGTTTTCACTACCATGTGCTTTTGTTTAACCATTTAACTTAAGTTTAGTCAAATCAAGTTTCCTGTTAAATTTCCTCCTTCTCCCCACCCTCCCCTCCCAAAAAACAGTTGTCTTCACAGCTAATGGATCATGAAAGCCATATGTTTAAGGTTAGTGAGCTAACTTTGGAACCATACAAAGTTAAATAAGCTACAGAAGCTATTCTGACATACCTTCCATGATCCTAGCACAAATTTCAGCTCCTACTCCAAATTGTGGCCAGCCTCCTTCCACTGTTATAAGATGGTTTGTCTTCACAACACTGGCTTCTATACTTTCCACATCCATTGGTCTAATAGTACGGAGGTTTATCACCTTAGAGAGAGTATTAAGTGTTTGTTTTTTTTTTTTTTGTCAAGAGGTCCTTTAAGACTATCTATAATTGCATAAGTGGTTAACTTCACCTTAGTACTTTTCTTGTTTTAGTCCTTGAGAGGATAAGTGGCTAAAGAAAGTCAATGCTTCAAACTGAGATCTAGGGCATTTCCTCCAACTGGGTGTATTCTGCATCCATTATTTTAGCCATCTTTCCTCTGCAGAGGAGCCTAAATTCTGTATTTCAGCTGTCATCACGCCCACAGTCCAAAGAGGAACTACGCACTTCGTTCTGGGATAGGATGACTAATTTTAGCCACATCATGCTACAGACTCCCATCTCACCCTCCAGCATGTCAGAAGTCTGACTTTCTAGTCATCCCTCCCTGAATATAGAGGTGTATGCAATTAGCATTGCACACACATTCACTTGTGTTTTTCTGCATTAAGCCTCCTTAGATCAAGGCAAACAATAGACCTTTCACTGCCTCGATGTAGTTTAAAATATCAACACCCGACTCAGGCCTTGTCTACACACCTTAACTAATTGATTTTAAAACCAATTTAAGTTAGTGAAAAGGCTGGACATCAGAATCAGTATAGACTTGACCTATATCACTATGACTTATAGCCTGTTCCGGACAAGCTAGGTCAATAGAAGCCAGACTTGTACCAATTTGAGTGTCTACACAGCCTTTGATTTAACTGAATCAATTACAAATAAACCCCACTTTAAACTGGTACAACTGTTTAGACAAACCCCCTGGTCACCCCTAGGAATCCCACTAAATGGCATCCTGCCTAGTTGCAGCACTACGGCCATGCATAAACCTCTCTCACAAACAAGCTTCCCTTGTGCTTGTGATTTTGACTTAGACTTACATCCATGGCATTACATTTTGCCCAGCTCTATGATGGGAAGTCAGGGGATGGCAGATATATGAAAGGAACACATTTGTCTCCATCATTGTTTAAATCCGTGATGAAAGAGTACTTTAAAGTGCAAACAGTTTACTGGGCTTAATTTTGCAGGGCCTTAATTTGATTTTAAAAAGTAAGGAATTTCTTCACGAGGGACTAGAATCCTCCCATAACACACCTCACACTCCACACCTTCTTTGACAAGTACAGCAGCTGCTTCCAGACAGTGTCCAACAGATCTGGAGTGTGACACTAAAGTAACATGGGTTCCTGAAACACAGAAGCTGGTGATGGATCAAGTTACATAAGAGTTAACTACAGAAGTCAGATCTTCCTCCTACACCCTCAGTAGCCTTAAAGCTCAGGACAACACAGTCCAGCTTTGAAATAGTAAGTACATAAGGACTGAATATTGATTTAACTGCACTTTTTTTAGTCTATTCAAAAGTAACAGATTTATACATTAGGAATAGCCTGAAATTCAACAACTCAACTCAGCCTGAGTTTGCGTATTTGAGGTGTCCAACACTTGTACTCTACATGCAGAATGAGTAGCACTGATTTGCCACAGTAGGCTATGAAGTTCTTCTCATCATTGCAAACGAATTTATGTATAAGACATTTGAACCACGGCAAATTTGTTCAGCACATCAAAGATCTAAACAAAAGTAGTTGTCTGAATACAAGGAAGGAAGAGAAATGTGAGATTTCACTCAGCACATAGGCCTATTACCTGGTTCATTCCAGACTTGATCCAGAATTGCACCTTTTTCCTAATGACCAAGATACTTTGTGGCCAAAAGGATGGAACCAAGTGATGGTTTTTTTTTGTTAACAGGAGGTTAGTGTACAGTATGTTAAAGTCCAAACAAACTCAACTTCCAGAGTTCTGTCCCTTCACATACTCCCTTCTTGTGGAATAGGCAAGTGTTTTGTATGTGAAATACATGATTCAATTAAAGTGACCCAACAGAGGAGGAGAATTTGAGGAGCAGATTATGTGAAGTGTTCCGAACTTACCTTGCCTTTCTATTTTGGCTTTTCCAATAGGAACAAGAAAGTCCTTTGATTGAGCTTCTTCTGCCATTTCAAAAGGGACTCCATACATCAATTCATTTTCCAGCATCACAACTGAAAACACATCAAGTGCTTACTTTGGTTAGTTTGATGCACTTCTCCAGATGAAATTATACAGCATCATCCAACCTTTCCTCCCTACTCTACCCTCCCCCCAAGTTCCTAAAGTGGTAGGGGGCTCCATTATGCTCAACTCTTGGCTCACTTACAAGAGGGCAAACAAGTGCAATAAAAGCATAGTTTAGGTAGCACGTTTGTATCAGCATGAAATATGACTCAGTTAACTTGAGCAGCTAGTAAGTTTGACTAAATGATCCTGTTTGTTAACACGGTAAAAAAAATAAACCAGGAGCATTTAAGTTTGGTGATTTGAGATATTCAGTGATAAGCAGAAGCCGAAGACCTGATCCAACAACCTTTCCCATGAGCAGTCCCATTATCCATGTGGGAAAGGATGCAGGAGGCCGGTTCCTTAATAGGGCAATACAGTACCAATTATTTTCCTACTTGGTCACTACAGAAATTAAACATCTGGGTCTCCCTCTAAACTGAATTTAAACAAGAGGACCTAGGGCCAGGAGTTTGTGCAAGATTTCTCCCTTTAAGTTCCTGGAAGTCTGCAAAAAAGTCATATCATGCTTTAGGAAGATTTTAAAAGAGAACTTTGGCATAATGGAACTCTCAACAATAGTAGTTAATAAGCACATTTGTGTAGGAGACTGACCTCCTGAGAAAGTTCTGTCCAACACTGTGGAATGAACTAAAATCTATCACAAGCCTTACCACTTTCTGCTCCAAGTGCCAGGCACATTATATTAGAAAAAGCAAAGTCAAAGAAAACACATAGTAATAGATATTTATATATTAAAGACATGGTACCAAAACAAGACATTCTACTGCACATGCTTCTCTCTCTGGGGAGAGAAGGAGAATCACCACCAAGTCACAGGTGCGTAGTCATGTGTGCCTGCTAGCATTAAAGCCACTGTATGGAGCAGCATGCCCCCTTAAAATTCCTAAGTTCATTGTTATGGTGTCAGTCTTTAAAAAAAATCAATGCATCAAAGGTGCCCAATACTACAGTGATTAGTGCGGTATGGTTAATGGATAGAGTAACTGACTTTTCTACTCTATAAATGTAGACTCAACAAGATGGCACTACTGAGTTAATAACTAGCATTTATAACTAGACAAGTTAGAAACCTGTGTATGTGGTTTGTTTTTCTGGGACAGCTCAACTTCAATAGTCTTAATTTTCTGTGAAGTTCTTAACCACATACTGCAGCTGAGCTGGGAAAGGCACAAACTGATCATATAACTTGCCATGAAGTCAGCTGCAGATACTATACGCTAGGAAAAGTGTGCAGAAAGACCCTAATTGCTCTTATAAGGGCATGGAGAATCTTTGCACTAAAGCTGTGATTTTAAACAGCCTAGGTGTTAATTTAATAGTTAAATTTGCTTTTAAAAAACATTTATTTCAGAGACTAATTGGAGAGTAAGTTAAGCATCTGGCACTTAAATCATTAGACCATGGTATTTATAAAAAGTTACAGTCACCTGGATTGTCATCCCGGACTGATGCTTTAAGCAGACCTTTAGCATCCTCTGAACTCCAAGGGCTGACTACTTTCAGTCCAGGACAATGCCCATACCAAGCAGCAAAGCACTGTGAATGTTGTGCTCCTACTCCAGCTGAGGCACCGTTGGGACCTCTGAAGACAACTGGGACAGGCACCATGCCTGCAGACATGTAAAGTGTCTTGCCAGCAGAATTTATAACTTGATCAATTGCTTGCATGGAGAAGTTGAAGGTCATGAACTCACAAATCGGCCTCAACCCAGCCTGTTAAATTAAGACAGTTAAACTAGTGTTAACTGCTAATATAGCTATCATAATAGCAAGGTATTTTGCATTTAACATTTTTCTGTTAAATGGATTAAACAGAGAGAAAACGGATCACACTTCAAAAAGTCAGAAGTTACTTACCATAGCAGCACCTACAGCAATTCCGGTAAAGCCCATCTTCAAAAGAAAAAGAAACTAAGGATGAGTATGACTTCCAAAAGACAGGGGAGGGGGTGGGGAGAGATTAACAAAATTCTAATTTATTCATACCTCCGATATAGGAGTATCTATTATTCTCTTGTCTCCATATTTCTTCCAGAGACCTCTGCTAATCTGCAATTAGCAAAGACACATTGGGTTGCTAAGATTAGATTTCCAAATGTTAGTTAATTAAGTTAATAAACATGAGTCTACTCACCTTGTATGCACCATCATATTGGGCGACTTCCTCTCCCAACAAAAATACTCTCTCATCCCTCTCCAGCTCCTCATCTAGTGCCTGATTCAATGCATCACGGACAGTCACCTGATAAAGACGGGTTAACTGTTCAGGGCAAGTACTTTACAGCATAAAAAACAAGTCTCCGGTGAAACGCCCCAGCGGCGCTCGGTATACACCGACAGCGTCACAGCTACCGAACGAGGCACAAGACAACGATTTGAAATAAGCGAGGGGCGGTTATAGGAAAGCACCACATGCCGCCTTCTCCCCGGGAGAGGGGGTGAAGACAGAGGGCGTCGCTTGGCCCTTCGCAGCAGTATGTATTCAGACCGTGTCACGGCGCCTCAGACAAGTGACCTGCCTGCCCCGGTGGGGACCCGGGGCTGCCCCCTGTCAGCGCAGGGCACCGAGGCGAGCCCAGCCCGGCCAGCGGCGGCGTGTCCCGAGGCGGGCAGCACCCAGAGCGCGCGGGGGGGGAGGGCGCCCCCCCATTCCGGCCCCACAGGCTCCGCCCCCCCGGTCCTGGCCCGTTCCCACCACCCCGCCCTCGAGCTTGGGCAGCTGCCCCGCCCCCTCACCGGCGGGGGGGTGGGGGTTGTGGCGGTGCAGTGGAGGCTGCCCCCCCCCGCGCGCTCCGTGACCCCGTTACCTGGACGGCCGCCGGCGCGGAGCCGTGAATCCCGCTGCGCAGCTGCAGCCGCAGCCGCCGCCCCAGGCCCTGCGGAGAGACGGGCACAAGCGTTAACACGGAGCCGGGGGAGCGTGAGGCGGGCGGGGGCAGCCGGCCCGACCCTACCTGCTGGGGCCCGCATCGCACCAGCCTCCTCAGTGCCCCTGCGGCAGCCGCCATCTTGCCCCTGCCCTCTGCCTGTCAGCCCCACACGTCACTGCGTAACAGCTTGTCTGTCCAATCAGAGCTGGGACCGCCCCCTCACTGCCAGGCAGCCGGGCGCAGGGGGCGGAGTTATCCAGTTATCGCGAGAAGAGACGGAAGCGGTCCTAGGGGTTGTCTTTGCCTCGCTTCCGCCCTTCCGTGCATTGAGCGCGTTCAGCGAATCCGCGGGCCGAACGTCCTCTTGCCCGGCGGCTATGGTGAGCCGCTTGGACCAAAACTAGTACGGAGGCGCCATCCTTTACAGCTTTGCCTTCCCATGGAAGACTTGTCTCCAGCTGCTGCTGTCACTCAGACTTCGCTTGTTTGGCCTGACGTTGGCCATGCTGGGTGCTGCTTCCAGCTGGTTGTGGTTATGTTGGGAGGGGCGAAGGGGGATTTCAGACTGGTGGGTGCAGGTGCTTCTGAAAATGAAGCTGGGGAACATTTGTTATTCTTGACCACGTAACAAAATTCTTGAGTCAATGTTTTTCGTTCAGAGGCGCCTGTGAAACTTAACAGGGTTTCCGTAGTGTCAGGGATGTGCCTGTGAAAATCTGCCAATCTGCCCCTGTTATAAGGCCTGGTCTACACTGGGGGGGAGGGGCAGGGGGCTATCGATCTCAGTTACACAACTTCAGCTATGTACGACGTACTTAGACCTAGTCACCAAGACACTGCGGTGAGTTGAACGCTGCCGCTCCCCCGTCGATTCCACCTGCGCCTCTCGCAGCGGTGGAGTATAGGAGTCGACAGGAGAGCGCTCGGGGATCAATTTATTGTGTCTAGTCTAGATGCGATAAACGGACCCCCGCTGGATCAATCGCTGCCTGCCGATCTGGCGGGTAGTGTAGACATACCCTAAGCCTCTGTGGTTATGATAGGGGTTGCAATGGGACTGAGGTTAGCGATGGTCCTTACTGTCTGTGGGAGCTCGTTCCACACTCTGCTGGCTCTTGAGAAAGGGCCCAGGGGCTTCGTTCTTGTAGTAGCAGAACGTTCCATTAGCCTAAAGAAGCAGAGCTGCAGGCCACAGGTCTCACTCCAGAAGATGAGTGCGTCACAAGGCACTTGCATCCCACTGCCCAAAGTTCAGCTGGTGCTGGGGAGACTCTGGTAGTTGCCTTGCACAGTTCTGGCTGTTGTGCTGCGTCACAGTGTTTGGGTGTGGTGGCAGACAGTGAAGTCACAAGATCCCAATACTTGCACCAACACACACTAACGGTGTTTCCAGACACCACCCTGGAGCTAAAGTGGCTCCTCAGGGTGTGTCTTCTGTGTCATACAGTGCCTATGCTGCTCCACTGGGATACCGTCTCCATGTGATGTAGCTATGCTGGCCCCAGAGCTCCAAAAGTTAAGTTAATGAGATGGGATAGATCCATCAAAATGGGGCTGGATCTGTGTACTCAAAGCAGGGGTCAGACTGGAAAAATCAGTGCTAGCAACACTTTTTAGGTGGAGCCTATACAGGAAGGATGGGCTCCACCTAAACGAAAATGGAACCAGATTGCTGGCACTTAAAAAGGTCATAGAGCAGTTTTTGAACTAATGGCTGGCAGACACACACATGAACATAATTTGTTGGGGAAGAGTCAACATGCTTTATGTAAAGGGAAATCATGCCTCACCAATCTACTAGAATTCTTTGAGAGGGGTCAACGAGCATGTGGACAAGGGGGATCCAGTGGATATAGTGTACTAAGATATTCAGAAAGCCTTTGACAAGGTCCATCACCAAAGGCTCTTAAGAAAAGTAAGCTGTCATGGGATAAGAGGGTCCTCTCATGGATTGGTAACTGGTTAAAAGATAGGAAACAAAGCATAAGAATAAATGATCAGTTTTCAGAATGGAGAGAGATAAATAGTGGTGTCCCCCAGGGAACTGTACTGGGACCA